AAAACTTTAATTTGCTGTCATGGAGTGTAAAATTCCTTGTCACAAGGCTGTATTAAAGACGTCACATTGGGGAAAGTAAATGACAAAACATTACTTTTCACAAAAGTTCAGCAGGGGGAAGAGCGGAGCAGTTGTCAAGGAACAATAGAATTTTAAGTTTGTTCCAGTCCGCTTCTGAGCAATGAGCTCTTGCTGCTGGTACAAAGGATTGAACCAATCAGAAAATAGTTCCTGGTTACCCATGCTTTCTTTTGGCAATAATGCACAGGTAAATTGTGTACAGCTAGACATCTCAGTCGCTATTTTTCCAATCACTGCTAACTTTAACTTTGTGTGCCTGCAACATTGAAACCCAAGAACAATCAACCTGTTCTTAGCATCCTTAACACCTGTTGGTGCTCTCTCATCAAACGTTGTTGACGTTTTCTAGAACATTCCAGTACAGAGCTGTTTCATCAGCATTGTAAATTTGTTCAGGCTAAGGTTTCCATCAGATATAGTTTTGCAAATCGTCAATGAAATTTTCAGCTGCTTCATGATCAGCAGAAGCCTTTTCACCACAGATTTTCAGATATTTATACCATGATACTTCTTAAATTTCTGCAGCCAACCTTCTGAATATTCACTCACCATCAATGTTCAGTTCTCATGGTATATTCTAGCTTGTTTCATGACCATCAAACCCGCCAGTGGCATACGTACTTTTGTTGTCGAATCCACTTAACAGCACGCCGTCAAGATCTTCATTTTTGCCTTGCATTATTCTGTTTTTATTATTTTTGGTCATCACTGTCAGAGTAAAACTTCAACAACTTGTCTTCGTTTCTAAGTCATATACAGTGGTAGTCCACACCATATTTTATGATGCCACAGGACACCACGATCAAGCTGTAACAACTCCACTTCTGTGCTATCGTATGAGGGATGCTTCCTTTGCTCCCTTTACCCATGGGTATCTGAAGCTCTTGGCATTCAGTGAATAAACAAATCGTAAATATAAGAATAGCGCAAATGTGTGACTAGTAGCAACACTGAGACACGGACGCCACTCACACCCGCGGTGTGGGTCAGCCCGAAGCGCCAAGTCCAGAAATGTTCGATTTCACACAGTGATGCAACACAACTTTTTTTGAATCGATAAAGGATTGTCAACCTGTACTTTATTTATTTGGCATGAGGCAACAACAAATTAACAATGTTTTATGAAATTGGCTTTAACATACTGTAGGTGCCCTTTGATATAGTGACAGAAGGTTAGAGTATTTACACTATAGGAACCGAGATTTGCTGTGGGGTCCTGACTTCTGAAACGTCCGACTTACATATGATCAGTTTTTAAACTTGAAATTTACAATATTTTATTTACCAGATGACTTTTTTTTTACTTTAATTTACTGTTTTTTCATTCTATTTTTTTTTGACTTGCTAAAGATTTTAGATGTATATAGGACTTACTGCATATACAGCACCCGACTTCACCTACCTACTCTCTAAATACTCCCTCCCTCCTGTATCTTTGTCTGGTATTAACACTGGCCATTATGAACTATATTTGAAAGAAGCAAAATGCACTGTGATACTGTTTTTTTCTCACTTCCTGACCCTTCCGCAGGCATGGCCATTTAACCTTTGAAACATTTCTGGGCGTAAAGCCAACAATTGTTGTATTTCAGTGTTAACAACAACACACTTTGGTTTACGACATCACCACCTTTCTGTTGTGTTTGTTCATCTTCACTGACCATTTCACAAGGCATCAGTAAACTTAACAAATGAGCATATAAAGACCCCATGTAGGACTCGATTTCTTTTATCGCAAAACCTGCAAGTGCAAATTAATATTACGAGAGATAATTAATTCAATCGTATGTTCCATCACTATTAACGACTACATATAATATATTTGATGGCTCACTGGACAGCTAGAGACTAGTCGAGCTTATCACACTTATCACCTCAGCAAAGCTCGTTGTCCTTCTCTCTCCTTCTCTAGGTAACAAGAACTGTTACCAGTATCACTATTTTCCTCTGCGTGGACACTATTTCCTGATGGGTCTTGAGTTTCCACATCTGGTACTGACATCTGAATGTCTTCAGTTTGACTGTAATCTTCCATAGCTGCTGCACTGTGTTGGTGGTGTTCTTTTTCTGTAGTGTATTGCAGAGGCTCTTTAACATATCAGTTTGAGCTGTAAATTGAGATTAGAGTTCTTTAATCTCATTTTTCAAATCGTTGATCTCTTCACTTTGTGCGTGTTCACGGGGTGTGTTGGCAGCTACCTGTTGTGTTGGTATGTCTGTGTTGCCCCATGCTGATCTTTCGTTGGAACCTGTTCATAACCTGGGGACTCTCTGTATAGGAACCGAGAGGATAGGGAGGAAAGTGTAGGGAGAAAACCGACAAGTCAAGGCAGAGGGGTGGGAAGGAGAGATGAGTAAGCAAGGGGATGGGGGGAAGGAGGGCAGGTGGGGTCATTGTCTTATGAGTCATTTTTACAATACAGTACTGAACTCATGTATGAATCTGTATTGGGTATATTGTATATCCATCAAAATTGTGAATGAAGAAAAGGGTTAAGCCTTTGCTCCCACCCCTTTAAGCAAGTTTTATTCAAATGTTTATTTTATTTGGCATACTCGCTACACTAAATAGTTATGCATTCCATCACGTTACCGCACAATAAACTGTATGCACAGGGAGTAGGAAATTTAAATGAATTAGGTTAATTGTAACCTTGTAATTTTTGTAATGTTAACCCTTTGAGTTAGAGCTCACTTTTCAAGGTGTAAATCTACATAACTAGCCTTTTATGGGGGGCTTGATTCATTCGAACGCCTGACTTTTCAATGGCCACACTTTGACGCTTACCCTATCCCTAGATTAGTGTTTTTGACTGTACAAAGATCTTATGATAATTATCCAAAGATCTTTGATATAACATTTACTTTAAGTCTTAGTTACTGAATATCTACTTATGCCCTCACAAACTGGTTGCTTTGAATCAAGTAAGTTGAAAGCAGTATCAAAGGGTGAGGGGGGGAGGCCCTGGCTGAATGGACCCCCTATATACCCCACTGCCTAGCACTAACTTCAGGAAATTTCTCCTTAGAAGATAAAATATTTCTTACTTTATGAAAAAAACTAAAGTGCATGAGGAATACATTTTGCGGTTACTGTATCTTGTATTTAATGAGTGCCTTTGCTGCCATTCAGGGAAGACTGGAAACTTTCTGCAGTACTGTACCAGATACTGCTACAATATATAATTTATAGCTCAAAAAATGCAGCAAACTAACCTAACCTAAATTTGAGTTTCACCTTAACATTATAATATGATTTAGGTTAGGTAGTTTAGTAAATTTTAAGGATGATATACTGTACTGTACACAGTACTGTAGCAGTATCTAGTACAGGTACTTTGGAAAGTTCCCAGTCTTGTCATATGTCAACAAAGGTACTGACACTTTTGATTTTATGCCCTAAATACAAGATTACTGAATTTGTATAATATTACAGTACTGTTGCACTGTACTTTGTAATACTGTAGTTCAGGTGAGTTATGTGCCTAAACCACCTACTGTACCAGTGTGATAAAGATCATATATATTTGATGGTATGTACAGTAGTGTTTTATCTTTCACAGGGTTAGCTACATAACATATACTGTACAGTACTTCGTGAGATAATCTGAGTGAAAAATGGCTACAAGAATAAAAAAATATATTTTTAAGTGTGAAACAAGTTTTATTCAGTACAAAAAGTGTTTGTTTATTAGCATATTTTCTTGACCTGTACAGATGCCGCAGCTACTTTACTCCTGAGCAGTTGCTCCAAGTATATAAGGGATTCATTCGTCCTAACTTGGAGTACTGCTTTCATATCTGGGGTGGCTCTTCTTCTGTCCAACTATTAGATAGGGTGGAATCAAAGGCATTTTGTCTTATTAACTCTCCTCCTTTAGTCGACAATCTCTCTTCCCTTTCTCTTCGCCGCAATGTTGCTTCACTCTCTCTCTTTTACAGGTACCTTAACGGGCAATGTTCGGTGGATTTGGCATCCTGTGTACCCACGGCAAGGCCGTGGGTTCCTAACACATGTCTTGCCCTCGGTGCCCACCGTTTCTCTGTGGATGTCGGTCACACGAGAATAACCCGTTATAGTACCTCCTTCTTTCCTCACACAGCCAAACCGTGGAATGCTCTGCCTTCTTCTGTGTTTCCATGCTCTTACAATCTGTCTCACTTTAAAAAGCTGGTTTTCCGGCATCTTCGTGGTGTAGATTAATACAGTATAACTTTTTTTCAATATTTACAATTTCTTTCCGTTCTAGATTTTTTTTTACAGATTGCCCCGGAGGGGGCTAGTTTATTGGGCACCCCCTTACATCCTGTGCAAGGTGAAGCGCAGCAGCGTTTACAGTGCCCAACTGGGAAGCATGCGAAGTTCATGCTTGCCTTTATAACTCATGCATTAAGGGCGTGGAAGCCTGAAGGGTCATGGGTTTTGTCAGCAAGTTACATAAAGTGACAGAATGATGGGGGGGGGGGGAAATTCCCGGTACATTTCATCTGTTTATAGCAAAGCGTGGCAGGTCCCTAATAATGTCAAGTGCCAGGCCTGTGTCTAGGAAGAGGGATATCTGGTCAGGGAGGGAAGAGGTGTTGGTAACAGCTGGGGACCTGTAGGAGGAGGTCATAGGGCAAGTGAGGATGTAGTGAGAGAGGGTGTGAGAGTCGGGTTTCTTTCCGTTCTTTCCCCTCCCCCCAGGCTCCGTTGTGGGTCGTTTGACCTGTGCCCGGGTGGGCTAATTCCCGTAAAAAAAAAAAGAACTGTACGGTTTTTTTTTTTTAATTTATTCAACAAATCTTTGTCTTGATAATCCAGCCAGGGTGGGATACCCATAGGCATGAATAATCGAGGTCAATCTGTACTTCATCACTTCAATGTGTGTGTCATTTAAGCTGATGTCTGATAAATATATATATATTTTTTTTTGCAGCATGTGGATGAGTTGTCTATGCCATCTAAACCATGGATTCAAAACCCTTCACAAGTCCTGGGGATTCACTTTCCAGAGCAGGTGTGTGTTTTTTTTGTACAGTGTGTACACAGTAGACCTTGTTATAGCACTGGAATATGACTGAGAATTATTGCACAGTCGTGAATAACAACCTTGTGAATGCCAAAACCATGAATATAGAAACCTTAGTTCAAAAGGAAGAGAGGGTATGCTTGGCATGACTGAACATAAGGGGAAATCATAAATGTTAACAGTAGTGACTACAATACATGCTGTACTGTACTCTACCAATAAATCATAATAATCTATAGAGAGTAATTTTTTTTTTACTTAAGGTATCTTTGGTGATGATGATAATGATTTGAGGCATTGTGTGTGACAGTGACGAGTGCATCTAATTTAAGTTTCAAGAAATTATGCATCAAAGTTTTAAAAACTTAAGAGCCATTCATTATGATACACAAAACAATATTAATTTAATTTCTTCCACAGTTGTACATGTATCTGTGTCTAGGATGCATATCACACTTTGTAATACATATCAATGCAAGGACATGTACTGTAATGTAAATTTATGACAGAAAAAAACAGCACCATAACAACTTTATACAGTACTGTACATGTAACAGATTGAGCGGGAAAGTGACCGATTCCAGCTGTAAACTCGATGCTTATTGGCAGACAAAGACACTGCGATTGCATTGTTGATTGGTTGCTAGCTGAGGCAGGTTCATATCACTTTTTCAAACCTAAGTAACATCCCAGCTCTCACTAACCCAGATCCAAGTGACTTTTTCTGTACTCCCATTAAGTTATCAATACTCATACATTTTCTACATTATTCGCCAAGATTTTGTACATGCTGACACCGTACCAAACTGTTTTCTTGAATAGATGCAAAGGGCCAGAGAGTGAATGTGGTAAAAACAAAAGTATTGACTAATGGTGTGGGGTGAGGACCCATGGTGGAATGTGGAAAATGGTCATGTGGTCTGCAAAAAAAGGGGGGGGGTGGTAGTAGGTAGTAGGCAGCTACCAAACAGGGAGGTACTACTGCCTGGGAAGATATTGGAAGCATAATGTATTGTCTAATGGTAGACCCTGCTGCCATATGGCATCACGAAAATTGTAACCAAGTCCCAGGTTGCTGTTCTATATCTTTGCCTTATTTACACACAATTACAGGGTCTCAGTTGTCTCTCAATATTGACATCACAACAAATATAACCATACTCATTCTTGATCTGTTTTATTCATTCTATTTTATTCTCCTATGTCAATTGATATTATTATTGAAGCGGGGCCTTCTCGGATGGGTCCCACTGGTCGGGAAGGTTGTGGACCCCAGGGTCGACCTGATCATCATCAAGTTACTGTGGCCCCAACTGACGCCACCGCGGTTGCTGGAGGATCGGCTTTTTTCACACTTAATTTTTCCAACATTCGCGGCCTGAGATCCAATTTTCCTTCTGTGGAGCACCATCTATAAACCTCTTCCCCTGACCTCTTACTACTTTCCAAACTTCAACTGACCAAAGCAGCTTCACCCAAACCTTTTCAAGTCTCCAACTACAACCTTTATACCTCCTTCCGTTCTAAGGGAGGTGTATGCGCCTACTGCAACACTTATACATCCATAGCCCAACTCACGGATCTTGAATCTTCCCTTTGTGATGTCATCTGGCTCAAAATATCTCTACAAACCGTGACTATTTTTCTTTGTTTCCTATACTGTTATCCCAACTATTTCAAACTCTATTTATCTCACTTCTTGCCATGAGTCGTTGCTATCCACACACCCCAACACCGAGATCCACTACCTAGGGGATTTAAATGTGCATCACAGAGAGTGGCTTGGCTTTGCAAGGAATGACCCAGGTGGAGCTGAGGCACTCTCTTTTTTCTTACTTAATGATTTGGAGCAAATAATCAAACGCCCTTCATGCATTCCTGATCGACACAATCATCTTGCTAACATTCTTGATCTTTGTTTTACCTCAAACCCCTCACACTCTTCATACTCAAAATCTGCCCCCTTAAGGTCTTCTCATCACAATCTTATTTCTATTAAATCAAATTGGGCACGACCACCTCCCCAACCCCATTCTAAACGTCAACTGTGGCACTATCGGAGGGCAAGCTGGCAATCTTTGCGAGAATTCTTCACCGACTTTCCTTGGGATGAATGTTGCTTTACCACTCGAGATGCCTCGGTATGTGCTGACAGCATTGCAGGATTTATACAGGGTGGTATGAGTGCATTTATCCCATCTTCTACCAAAACTTTCACTTTACAATCATGGTTTGATCGCTCCTGCACTCTTGCATGCAGGGTGAGAGATAGGGCATATCAAGCTATGAAACTATCTCCTCCTATTACCCACACCTCTTTCATTACTTCTAGGAATCGTTGTATAGCTATTCTTGGTAGGGCCAAGCGGAATTTTATAAAAAGAAAGACTGCTGTCCTGACTAATTCTCCCTCTAGTAAATCCCTCTGGTCCTTAATAAAAATCATCTGGAATAACTTCTGCACTCCTTTTCCTCCTCTCTTCTGACCTGATAACTCTATAGCCAATTCTCCCCCCTGGCAAAGCCAATCTCTTTGGCACCTTATTCTCCTCTAATTCCACCTTAAACAATTCCTACTCTATCCCTCCTACTCCTGCTCCTCCTACTGATCCTATGCACTTTCCTATAATCTCCACTTGCAGGGTTGCCGTTGTGTTATCCAGGTTGGATGTGAGTAAGGCGCATGGACCGGACGGAATACCCACTCGTGTTCTGAGGGAGTGTGCTGAAGCTCTGGCCCCTTTGCTTGCTCGCCTCTATTGTCTATGCCTCAAAACCCAAACTTTTCCTTTTTCTTGGAAGCACACCTCGGTTCAGCCCATCCCGAAGAAGGGTGACCTTTCTAATCCCCATTGCCCTAACTTCATCCCTCTTTAAGATTTTCGAAACTATCTGGAACTCCCATTTTCTCCGTCACCTTGAACGCCATTCTCTTTTGTCGGATCACCAGTATGGCTTTCGCCAGGCGAGATCTACTGGTGATCTGCTCTCCTACTGCACCCATCTTTGGTCATCCTCTCTTAGGGATTATAGAGAAACTTTCATCGTGGCCCTCGACATCTTCAAAGCATTTGACAGGGTATGGCACAAGTCTTTGCTTTCTAAACTTCCTTCTTATGGTTTCTCTCCCCCCCCCACTTTGTTTTCTAATCTCTAGCTTCCTTGAGAACCGATCCATGGCAGTTGTTGTCGAGGGATTGATCTCTCACTTTCTCTACCAATAGTGGTGTCCCACAGGGTTTTGTTCTTTCACCTACTCTCTTCCTTCTTTTTATCAATGATTTACGTCACACTACAACTAATTCTATCCATTCTTACGCTGATGATTCTACTCTTCACTCTTCTTCACATTTTCCCCTTCCTCCTAACTCTCAAACTAGATCTTTTTCTGGAGCTGATATCATTACTTCTATCAATGCAGATCTGTGCAGCATCTCTGAATGGGGAGGTACAAACTTGGTTAAATTCAATAGTAATAAAACTCGGTATTTACCAATTACACTTTCTAAATTAGATAATCTTCCACCAATTTCATTTCAGGACGCTATCATTCTGCCAAACTCTGAAATAGATATGCTAGGCCTCACCATTTCCTCCATTATGCCCTGGAAATCACACATCCTTAACATAGCTATAGCTGCCTCCCGAAAGTTGGGAATGCTGTACAGATGTCGTAGGTACTTCACTCCTGAGCAGTTGCTTCAAGTTTATAAGGGAATCATTCATCTTAACTTGGAGTACTGCTCTCTTATCTGGGGTGGCTCTTCTTCTGTCCAACTGTTAAATAGGGTGGAATCAAAGGCATTTTGTATTATTAACTCTCATAGTCAACAATCTTTCTTCCCTTTCTCTTCGCCGCAGGTACTTTAACGGGCGAAGTTCGGTGGATTTGGCATCCTGTGTACCGCCGGCAAGGCCTTGGGCTCGTAACACAAGTCTTAACCGCTGTGCCCACCGTTTCTTTGTGGATGTCAGTCACACTAGAATAACCCGTTATAGTACATCCTTCTTTTGTCACACAGCCAAACTGTGGAATGCTCTGCTTTCTTCTGTTTTTCCATACATCTGCAATCTGTTTCACTTTAAAAGGCTGGTTTTCCGGCATCTTTGTGGTGTAGATTAACATGGTATAACCTTTTTCTTCTCTATTTTTAATTTCCCTTTGTTCTTATTCCGCTTCCCCCCTCCCCCTCCAGGCCCTGTTATGGGTCGTTCGACCTGAGCCCGGTTTGGCTAATTCCCGTAAAAAAATAAATAAATAACTCAATGATGTGCAACTAGTGTGGACACAAGAAGTGCAGTTGAATAGATGGCAGACTGTGGGGGGTTGCTGACTCTTAAGTGATCTGTATGTGCAGGAAACCATATGCCCACAGCAAGGTTGGAGAAACTCAACATTAAGGATATGTCCCTGGATGTGTTCATGCTGTGCATATATCAGATTCATAGATAATCCGAAAGATATTACAGGTACACCACCGATTTTCCGGTTCCAAAGCCTTGCTGGATTATCTATTTTGCCGGACCAACCGAGGTCAGGTCATAATAATTCAACAATACACCTCTGACCCACTAATGATACACCTCCTGTGTCTAAAGCACCATGGACTGCTAGAAACTTAAATTAAACAAATATTAAATGTAAATTAAATGTGTAAAGGTCATAATTTTGAGCAACATAGTACTGTACACACTTTATACTCAAATGTACTACACTGAAGGACTAAAATTTTTATCTCTTGTGCAAAATGTGTGATGTTTATGCTCAAATTAATCAATATCTTAGAATGATTCCAGCAATGCAAGTTATAATCTCCTAAGTTTAGTCTGACTTTTTATAAGATAAAAACTTTAAGCCTAAAACTACTTTCACCCTGGCTGGTAAGAGTTGAGGTGTTGACAACCAGGCAGGGGGAGGAGGGGGGAGTGAGGTGAGGTATTGACCAGCCGGCGGCGAGATTACCCACTCAAATAGAGGGAGTTTAAGT